CGACGAATTTCACTTCTTTTAATACAGCAATGTACTTATTAATTCTACTCATAAAACACATTAATTTTTTTCTATGTTTTTTTTTAAAAAAAATAAAGATTTAAATCTATTTTTATTTAAAAATAAAACTGAAACGTGATCATATTTAACCATATGAATAATGATCAGTTCATTTAAGATCGCGTGAAAACGTGACTAGTCATTCATGAAGGTATTTCTAAATTGAGTGACGGATGTTTATTTTTTAAAAATATTTTTAATCTCCAGACACTCGTTAATTTAAAAAGAAAAATCAAGTTGGTGATGAATTACGGTGTAAGAAGGATGCAGAATTAATGGTATAAGTCAACGCAACACTCGGGCAATATGCCAAGGGGATGGATGACTTCCAAGGACTTTCTATGGTAAACTGGCCCTTGTTCTAGTGTTAATTAGACAAAGAAACACCGGGTGGCTCGTTGGTGTTCAATTTCAGCCTGGTGAGTGATTATAGTATAAGGCGATGTCACTTGTAGAATTATAAATCAATTGATGAGACATGTAAAGAGAGTATTGAATGTAGTTAGTAGACAATATTCTAAAATTGATAATTACATTCAAAACTCGATAATTTTCCGTAGTTCATCCGTATTCTATGATAGAATAAACGATAAACTGTAGAAAATTTATTCAGATTTGAATAAATAAGTCCATAAACTGTTGAAAAGATTCAATGAAAAACAACACAAATTTATAGAAATTTTATTGAATTTTGAATAGATAAATATTTTAATTATTCCAAATATTCAAAGGAGTAAAAGAATATTTTGCAAATTTTATAAATTTACAAAACATATTACAAGAAACGAAAAATATTTATCAACCAAATTTCCTTATAAATAATTCATCTCTAAAATTAAAATTTATTTATTTACTTAGTTTTTTTACTTTATTATTTGTTATTGCTATATAAAAATTACAAAATAACATTAAACAGAACTTTTACTTCACATTGATTTGTAAAGTGAAAATTAAAATATTAAATAATATATATTTTGGAAGTAATTTCAGGAAAATAAATACTAAATATTTAAAGAGGTATATCATATTTAAGTGTAAATAAATTTTATATGCACACGAAACTGTACTTAAATCTTTCAAAACAATTACTAGAAAACATCGTGTGTTTTACGCCTCACAAAGAGGTGACAAAGTGAGGTTTTACGGATTTTCTTCACGTGAATAACACGAAATGGCTCTGAGTTAATCCATGTTGAGTAGAACCATTTCTTGCACCCAATACTTTTAAGGCTGCAATTTGAAAAAAAATTGTAGACCTACAAATTCCCACTGTCGTCCGTCCGTCCGTCTTTCCTTAATCTCTATAATGGAATTAGATAGATGAACGACGAGACCATACATGACAATTTTAGGGGAAGGAGATCCCAATTAATTATACAAGAACGTCTAATGTAAACCGAAAGTCATGTTATTTTACTACAAAAATTATCCCCTGAAAGGTGTTAGATAGATGCCCTGCACTACTCTACTGTTAAAGGAAAAGTATAAAGTACAGGGGCAAGCCACTATTAATTTGAGGTGGAGAGCATATATTTTAAATTAAATTAAATTTAAAAAAATATGATAAAAAATTGCAGCCCGGCATTGTGACGATGTGACAATAAATAACTGCTCGTTCTAAATACATTTTATATATAAATATTTTAATTAATTTCCTAGGATAAAATATAGGTATTAATGCAACTTCTTCCTAACTATGGTAACAGATGAACCTTGATAATCCTTTTTATATCTGGTTCATGGGAAACTACATTTATTCAAGCTGAGTCACTGAGTTTTTCGCTGATAAACATCTAAATAATTTTAAATATATATAATAGTAAATCAATCTCTTTTGAATAAAGAGGTACTTTTATTGGTACAGATCTATTTTATATAGAACAATCAAATAGGATCTGTACCAATAGAAATGCCGCTTAATTAAGTAATGAATTGCTTCAAGATCAGAAAGATTTTAAAGCCCTTTAAAGGATTTCTTAGTGTATAGTTATTTAATAAGTTTTATTGTGGGCTATCAATAAATTGATAATAAAAGATAACGACTTCCTGAATATGCTGTATTCCCTTTACGAGTGGTGTAATGAATCTACTATTTAAGGCAGATAATAATAGCCCACAATAAATCCTTTAAGTAGTGTTTTGAAGGATTTTAAATCGTTTATTTCCGAGAGAAAAAAACCCATAAATTCATTCTGAAATTTTTAAATAATTCTTCTACAGCTTCAGGATTGGTTTTTATTTGGGGTGATCATTGTATAATTTATATAGTTTTTATTGATTTTACTGGACAGAAATATCTAAACAAAAAGAAAATTTATATATTATATAAATATAATTTATTTTTTTTAAAGAAAAGAAAAATATTCCAGGTAAATCCATTCATCGTGGATCATCTTCGAGTGGATTTCTATAACTTTTTGTTAATTACAACTGGTTTAATTCATAAATATATTATTAAAATGCTTCCCTATAAAATTTCTGTTAATATTTTCATTATATTCAATTAAAAAGAGAATAAATTTAAATAAATTCATTAAAACTGTTTCCACTCTTTTAAAGTTAATTAAAAATTCAAATAAAATTCATTAAACCGAATCATTTTAAAATTTAAAGCAAATTATACGTCCATTTTAAATACGTTTTAACAAAGTTAATTAAGAGAAATTACTTTGCAAAGAATAAGAATAAACAACCTGTAGAATACGGAACAATAAGATAAAGTATTAGAGTAAAAGAGCGTTGAATTAGTCAGGAAAGAAGAAGAAAAAATTACTAATTATTAATATTAATATATTTATTTTCATAATTTTTATAAATTAGAGAAAAGCTTTTCTAACAGTTAAAAAAATAAAAAAAACTTTCTATAGACGATAATAAACTCCATTCGAGCGAGTAATTACAACATTAATTTCTCATTGAAAACAATTTTGAAAATGCTACCAATGGTTAGGGACTCAATTACAATTTTCTGATGCGTTTCTATTCATCTAAACAATACAAAGTTCACCTCTAACGTCCTTTCAGTTAGCGATGAGGCCATGTTCTTGGTTGCCATGCAACTTCTTTGGCGATCGATAGCCGAAAAATGCGCATGATCGAAACTAGACCTCCCACGCTCCCGATTTCCAAGTAGACCATCGCAAGGATATCCACGTTACTTGTTCAGTAGATGTAGTACGAAAACGTATGATAACTGTCGTTCAGGTGAGTTATTGACGCATTTTCTATAATATACACAACCCACTGTATTAATTAACAATTGCCATATTATAGAATGACACTTAACCTGTATGCATCCTTAACATTGTTTACTTCATTGATAAATTGAAGATGCTGAATGGTGCTTTCACGTAACATGATCTACTAAAGGTAGTTAATTGTTTAAGACATTTTTTTAGTAGAAAAAATAACACCGTAACATCAGTTTGATATTTAAGAATGCCGCCGTTTCGGGCGACGTTAACCTTGACAGTAATAAATAAATAATAATAAAAAAAACAACCGGAGGAAAAAATTGTTTTGATTACGGNTTGCAGCTCGGCATTGTGACGATGTGACAATAAATAACTGCTCGTTCTAAATACATTTTATATATAAATATTTTAATTAATTTCCTAGGATAAAATATAGGTATTAATGCAACTTCTTCCTAACTATGGTAACAGATGAACCTTGATAATCCTTTTTATATCTGGTTCATGGGAAACTACATTTATTCAAGCTGAGTCACTGAGTTTTTCGCTGATAAACATCTAAATAATTTTAAATATATATAATAGTAAATCAATCTCTTTTGAATAAAGAGGTACTTTTATTGGTACAGATCTATTTTATATAGAACAATCAAATAGGATCTGTACCAATAGAAATGCCGCTTAATTAAGTAATGAATTGCTTCAAGATCAGAAAGATTTTAAAGCCCTTTAAAGGATTTCTTAGTGTATAGTTATTTAATAAGTTTTATTGTGGGCTATCAATAAATTGATAATAAAAGATAACGACTTCCTGAATATGCTGTATTCCCTTTACGAGTGGTGTAATGAATCTACTATTTAAGGCAGATAATAATAGCCCACAATAAATCCTTTAAGTAGTGTTTTGAAGGATTTTAAATCGTTTATTTCCGAGAGAAAAAAACCCATAAATTCATTCTGAAATTTTTAAATAATTCTTCTACAGCTTCAGGATTGGTTTTTATTTGGGGTGATCATTGTATAATTTATATAGTTTTTATTGATTTTACTGGACAGAAATATCTAAACAAAAAGAAAATTTATATATTATATAAATATAATTTATTTTTTTTAAAGAAAAGAAAAATATTCCAGGTAAATCCATTCATCGTGGATCATCTTCGAGTGGATTTCTATAACTTTTTGTTAATTACAACTGGTTTAATTCATAAATATATTATTAAAATGCTTCCCTATAAAATTTCTGTTAATATTTTCATTATATTCAATTAAAAAGAGAATAAATTTAAATAAATTCATTAAAACTGTTTCCACTCTTTTAAAGTTAATTAAAAATTCAAATAAAATTCATTAAACCGAATCATTTTAAAATTTAAAGCAAATTATACGTCCATTTTAAATACGTTTTAACAAAGTTAATTAAGAGAAATTACTTTGCAAAGAATAAGAATAAACAACCTGTAGAATACGGAACAATAAGATAAAGTATTAGAGTAAAAGAGCGTTGAATTAGTCAGGAAAGAAGAAGAAAAAATTACTAATTATTAATATTAATATATTTATTTTCATAATTTTTATAAATTAGAGAAAAGCTTTTCTAACAGTTAAAAAAATAAAAAAAACTTTCTATAGACGATAATAAACTCCATTCGAGCGAGTAATTACAACATTAATTTCTCATTGAAAACAATTTTGAAAATGCTACCAATGGTTAGGGACTCAATTACAATTTTCTGATGCGTTTCTATTCATCTAAACAATACAAAGTTCACCTCTAACGTCCTTTCAGTTAGCGATGAGGCCATGTTCTTGGTTGCCATGCAACTTCTTTGGCGATCGATAGCCGAAAAATGCGCATGATCGAAACTAGACCTCCCACGCTCCCGATTTCCAAGTAGACCATCGCAAGGATATCCACGTTACTTGTTCAGTAGATGTAGTACGAAAACGTATGATAACTGTCGTTCAGGTGAGTTATTGACGCATTTTCTATAATATACACAACCCACTGTATTAATTAACAATTGCCATATTATAGAATGACACTTAACCTGTATGCATCCTTAACATTGTTTACTTCATTGATAAATTGAAGATGCTGAATGGTGCTTTCACGTAACATGATCTACTAAAGGTAGTTAATTGTTTAAGACATTTTTTTAGTAGAAAAAATAACACCGTAACATCAGTTTGATATTTAAGAATGCCGCCGTTTCGGGCGACGTTAACCTTGACAGTAATAAATAAATAATAATAAAAAAAACAACCGGAGGAAAAAATTGTTTTGATTACGGATAAATTCTATTGGTAGAAAGGACATAAAAGTAAAGTTATAAAACTTGACCTACAATAACTGTGAGTCATCGTTTGGATCATTAATTTCCCCTACTTTGGCCGTTGAACTTGTATGTTGTTATTATCGAGAATTATCGTAAATATAAAAGAGATTTTTAAGTAGTAAAATATACACCATTTTTATAAAAGTGTAACACCAATAATCTTTATTCATTTTTACTGAATTTTACACCCCAGTTCAACCGATAGACCAAGGTCTCGTTTGTTTCTAAGCTGATCCTGAGTAATATCACGTGTTGACTTTTTATCTGTACAGTTTCTAAGTTCAGTAATCTTCAAATAATAATAATAATAATAATAATAAAACAATTATAAGAGTAATTTTTAAAAAATATATTTTTATGTAACTCGAAATTTAAGCTGTCGANTTGCAGCTCGGCATTGTGACGATGTGACAATAAATAACTGCTCGTTCTAAATACATTTTATATATAAATATTTTAATTAATTTCCTAGGATAAAATATAGGTATTAATGCAACTTCTTCCTAACTATGGTAACAGATGAACCTTGATAATCCTTTTTATATCTGGTTCATGGGAAACTACATTTATTCAAGCTGAGTCACTGAGTTTTTCGCTGATAAACATCTAAATAATTTTAAATATATATAATAGTAAATCAATCTCTTTTGAATAAAGAGGTACTTTTATTGGTACAGATCTATTTTATATAGAACAATCAAATAGGATCTGTACCAATAGAAATGCCGCTTAATTAAGTAATGAATTGCTTCAAGATCAGAAAGATTTTAAAGCCCTTTAAAGGATTTCTTAGTGTATAGTTATTTAATAAGTTTTATTGTGGGCTATCAATAAATTGATAATAAAAGATAACGACTTCCTGAATATGCTGTATTCCCTTTACGAGTGGTGTAATGAATCTACTATTTAAGGCAGATAATAATAGCCCACAATAAATCCTTTAAGTAGTGTTTTGAAGGATTTTAAATCGTTTATTTCCGAGAGAAAAAAACCCATAAATTCATTCTGAAATTTTTAAATAATTCTTCTACAGCTTCAGGATTGGTTTTTATTTGGGGTGATCATTGTATAATTTATATAGTTTTTATTGATTTTACTGGACAGAAATATCTAAACAAAAAGAAAATTTATATATTATATAAATATAATTTATTTTTTTTAAAGAAAAGAAAAATATTCCAGGTAAATCCATTCATCGTGGATCATCTTCGAGTGGATTTCTATAACTTTTTGTTAATTACAACTGGTTTAATTCATAAATATATTATTAAAATGCTTCCCTATAAAATTTCTGTTAATATTTTCATTATATTCAATTAAAAAGAGAATAAATTTAAATAAATTCATTAAAACTGTTTCCACTCTTTTAAAGTTAATTAAAAATTCAAATAAAATTCATTAAACCGAATCATTTTAAAATTTAAAGCAAATTATACGTCCATTTTAAATACGTTTTAACAAAGTTAATTAAGAGAAATTACTTTGCAAAGAATAAGAATAAACAACCTGTAGAATACGGAACAATAAGATAAAGTATTAGAGTAAAAGAGCGTTGAATTAGTCAGGAAAGAAGAAGAAAAAATTACTAATTATTAATATTAATATATTTATTTTCATAATTTTTATAAATTAGAGAAAAGCTTTTCTAACAGTTAAAAAAATAAAAAAAACTTTCTATAGACGATAATAAACTCCATTCGAGCGAGTAATTACAACATTAATTTCTCATTGAAAACAATTTTGAAAATGCTACCAATGGTTAGGGACTCAATTACAATTTTCTGATGCGTTTCTATTCATCTAAACAATACAAAGTTCACCTCTAACGTCCTTTCAGTTAGCGATGAGGCCATGTTCTTGGTTGCCATGCAACTTCTTTGGCGATCGATAGCCGAAAAATGCGCATGATCGAAACTAGACCTCCCACGCTCCCGATTTCCAAGTAGACCATCGCAAGGATATCCACGTTACTTGTTCAGTAGATGTAGTACGAAAACGTATGATAACTGTCGTTCAGGTGAGTTATTGACGCATTTTCTATAATATACACAACCCACAATTAAAATTTATTTATTTACTTAGTTTTTTTACTTTATTATTTGTTATTGCTATATAAAAATTACAAAATAACATTAAACAGAACTTTTACTTCACATTGATTTGTAAAGTGAAAATTAAAATATTAAATAATATATATTTTGGAAGTAATTTCAGGAAAATAAATACTAAATATTTAAAGAGGTATATCATATTTAAGTGTAAATAAATTTTATATGCACACGAAACTGTACTTAAATCTTTCAAAACAATTACTAGAAAACATCGTGTGTTTTACGCCTCACAAAGAGGTGACAAAGTGAGGTTTTACGGATTTTCTTCACGTGAATAACACGAAATGGCTCTGAGTTAATCCATGTTGAGTAGAACCATTTCTTGCACCCAATACTTTTAAGGCTGCAATTTGAAAAAAAATTGTAGACCTACAAATTCCCACTGTCGTCCGTCCGTCCGTCTTTCCTTAATCTCTATAATGGAATTAGATAGATGAACGACGAGACCATACATGACAATTTTAGGGGAAGGAGATCCCAATTAATTATACAAGAACGTCTAATGTAAACCGAAAGTCATGTTATTTTACTACAAAAATTATCCCCTGAAAGGTGTTAGATAGATGCCCTGCACTACTCTACTGTTAAAGGAAAAGTATAAAGTACAGGGGCAAGCCACTATTAATTTGAGGTGGAGAGCATATATTTTAAATTAAATTAAATTTAAAAAAATATGATAAAAAATTGCAGCCCGGCATTGTGACGATGTGACAATAAATAACTGCTCGTTCTAAATACATTTTATATATAAATATTTTAATTAATTTCCTAGGATAAAATATAGGTATTAATGCAACTTCTTCCTAACTATGGTAACAGATGAACCTTGATAATCCTTTTTATATCTGGTTCATGGGAAACTACATTTATTCAAGCTGAGTCACTGAGTTTTTCGCTGATAAACATCTAAATAATTTTAAATATATATAATAGTAAATCAATCTCTTTTGAATAAAGAGGTACTTTTATTGGTACAGATCTATTTTATATAGAACAATCAAATAGGATCTGTACCAATAGAAATGCCGCTTAATTAAGTAATGAATTGCTTCAAGATCAGAAAGATTTTAAAGCCCTTTAAAGGATTTCTTAGTGTATAGTTATTTAATAAGTTTTATTGTGGGCTATCAATAAATTGATAATAAAAGATAACGACTTCCTGAATATGCTGTATTCCCTTTACGAGTGGTGTAATGAATCTACTATTTAAGGCAGATAATAATAGCCCACAATAAATCCTTTAAGTAGTGTTTTGAAGGATTTTAAATCGTTTATTTCCGAGAGAAAAAAACCCATAAATTCATTCTGAAATTTTTAAATAATTCTTCTACAGCTTCAGGATTGGTTTTTATTTGGGGTGATCATTGTATAATTTATATAGTTTTTATTGATTTTACTGGACAGAAATATCTAAACAAAAAGAAAATTTATATATTATATAAATATAATTTATTTTTTTTAAAGAAAAGAAAAATATTCCAGGTAAATCCATTCATCGTGGATCATCTTCGAGTGGATTTCTATAACTTTTTGTTAATTACAACTGGTTTAATTCATAAATATATTATTAAAATGCTTCCCTATAAAATTTCTGTTAATATTTTCATTATATTCAATTAAAAAGAGAATAAATTTAAATAAATTCATTAAAACTGTTTCCACTCTTTTAAAGTTAATTAAAAATTCAAATAAAATTCATTAAACCGAATCATTTTAAAATTTAAAGCAAATTATACGTCCATTTTAAATACGTTTTAACAAAGTTAATTAAGAGAAATTACTTTGCAAAGAATAAGAATAAACAACCTGTAGAATACGGAACAATAAGATAAAGTATTAGAGTAAAAGAGCGTTGAATTAGTCAGGAAAGAAGAAGAAAAAATTACTAATTATTAATATTAATATATTTATTTTCATAATTTTTATAAATTAGAGAAAAGCTTTTCTAACAGTTAAAAAAATAAAAAAAACTTTCTATAGACGATAATAAACTCCATTCGAGCGAGTAATTACAACATTAATTTCTCATTGAAAACAATTTTGAAAATGCTACCAATGGTTAGGGACTCAATTACAATTTTCTGATGCGTTTCTATTCATCTAAACAATACAAAGTTCACCTCTAACGTCCTTTCAGTTAGCGATGAGGCCATGTTCTTGGTTGCCATGCAACTTCTTTGGCGATCGATAGCCGAAAAATGCGCATGATCGAAACTAGACCTCCCACGCTCCCGATTTCCAAGTAGACCATCGCAAGGATATCCACGTTACTTGTTCAGTAGATGTAGTACGAAAACGTATGATAACTGTCGTTCAGGTGAGTTATTGACGCATTTTCTATAATATACACAACCCACTGTATTAATTAACAATTGCCATATTATAGAATGACACTTAACCTGTATGCATCCTTAACATTGTTTACTTCATTGATAAATTGAAGATGCTGAATGGTGCTTTCACGTAACATGATCTACTAAAGGTAGTTAATTGTTTAAGACATTTTTTTAGTAGAAAAAATAACACCGTAACATCAGTTTGATATTTAAGAATGCCGCCGTTTCGGGCGACGTTAACCTTGACAGTAATAAATAAATAATAATAAAAAAAACAACCGGAGGAAAAAATTGTTTTGATTACGGATAAATTCTATTGGTAGAAAGGACATAAAAGTAAAGTTATAAAACTTGACCTACAATAACTGTGAGTCATCGTTTGGATCATTAATTTCCCCTACTTTGGCCGTTGAACTTGTATGTTGTTATTATCGAGAATTATCGTAAATATAAAAGAGATTTTTAAGTAGTAAAATATACACCATTTTTATAAAAGTGTAACACCAATAATCTTTATTCATTTTTACTGAATTTTACACCCCAGTTCAACCGATANTTTAAATAAAAAAAAAGTTTATAAATATTTTGGATTTTTAAATTATTTAAAATAAATTATTTATATTGTAATATAGAGACACGAGAGCGATGAGATAGGGCTCGAGCCGTTCATAGTTGTGGGACTTCACCACTCATCGAAGACCATAAATAAAACTAATAGAAAACAAGATTTTTTTTAAACCTCTTGTCAAAAAACTGTGATTTATATTAATTTCTATATATATAAGACTACATTTTTGACTCCTCTGTATCTGGGTCCTCCGTTAAATGGCCCTGCTTGGACGCTTCCTCTACTGCATCTGACGTAACAGTTTTTTTAGGGTGATCGTTTACGAAAAAATGACCTAATTATATGTAAACAGAATGTGTGGAGGTGTCTTTATATTTTAGATAAAATTTTGTAATATTACACCCGTATAAAAACTAAAAATTCAGCTCTAGTTTTAATTTAAATGCATAACCGAAAGGATTTTTGTGTGAAGAATAGGCTATGTTGTAATGTCACGTCTCACCTGTATTCCAAGATACAAGAAAAGAACTGCATTTCAATGAGTTTTCAGAACGAAGAAGTTATAATTTTGCAAAATAAACAAAAAGAAATGTGCATTTCTTCTTGCAACCAAGTAATTTATGGCTGCAGGAAGAATTTCAGTTCTTTGATTTCACTTCATAAATAATAATAAAAAAAACAACCGGAGGAAAAAATTGTTTTGATTACGGATAAATTCTATTGGTAGAAAGGACATAAAAGTAAAGTTATAAAACTTGACCTACAATAACTGTGAGTCATCGTTTGGATCATTAATTTCCCCTACTTTGGCCGTTGAACTTGTATGTTGTTATTATCGAGAATTATCGTAAATATAAAAGAGATTTTTAAGTAGTAAAATATACACCATTTTTATAAAAGTGTAACACCAATAATCTTTATTCATTTTTACTGAATTTTACACCCCAGTTCAACCGATAGACCAAGGTCTCGTTTGTTTCTAAGCTGATCCTGAGTAATATCACGTGTTGACTTTTTATCTGTACAGTTTCTAAGTTCAGTAATCTTCAAATAATAATAATAATAATAATAATAAAACAATTATAAGAGTAATTTTTAAAAAATATATTTTTATGTAACTCGAAATTTAAGCTGTCGATTATACAGTTCGAGTGTACTTTTATGTAAGTAGTTTCGGTGTTCTTTTGTACACGTAGCTGTATCGATATGAGTAAATATCGATACATGTACATTCCTACGAGATTTCTTTTATAAATTATCATTGGTTATGTAAAATATTCCAATGAAATGTTTATGTTTCCTTGACGTTTCCAATTGAAGGACGTGCAACTAGTCAAAACTGGATCAAGAGGTATGCCTTTTTTTTTGTTTTAATTAACTCAATCGAATTACAAAGGAAGTTTAATATATTAAATATGTTCTAATTCACTCGATTTAGGCAATAATTTAAGCACTTTTACTTTATTTATTTTTTTCTTTTGTTGTATTTAAAATAAAATAAAAAAATAATAGAAAGTATCAGTGAATCTGGGGCATAGTTCTTACATGTACAAGGATTTTATGTATGTTTTATATATATATATAATTTTTTATACATGTATAGAAGCTAGATATAATAAATTTTAATAAAATTTAATTAAATTTACAGAAAAATTACAGAAAAATTCTCGTATCTAAATTGATGCTGTGTAACTTATTAACAATTAAAAATAATTAAAATGTTTATTACAAATATAAAATAAAACAATTTGAAATTGTAAAAATATGCAGAATTTTAAATAAATTACTATTAAAAATATTAAAATAGAACGAAGCGATATTTGATTTTGTTCTCTTGAAAACACATCAAGAGAACAAAGCCAAATTTCATTTCGATTTTACTGAATTTTATGACGTTAACATTAAGCAATATTATAAATATTAAGCAAATAAATTGCAATAAATATTAGAATATTTTGATATATTTTTTTCCAGATTAATTAATCCATTCATTAGAATATTCCCAAATTACAAAGAAGGAGCTATCAAAATAAATTATCGATCCATCAACAAATCTATTGAAATAATGGATCAGAGAAAAGAGTTTTCTCTTCTAGTGGATCAATTATTTTAACTCTTATGATTAATTAATTAAATTTTCCACGAATTTATCCAATTCTCTCTATTCTCTCGGATTGAATTCTCTTGTAAATGCTACACTAAAGTCGTTGTAATGAAAGTTAAAGTGCTACTCGGATGACGTTTTTGTTTTTTGTTCTAATTCTTTGTAAACGCGTAAAACTTAAAATAAGTTTATCAGTTTATATTTTGGATAATATTTTATCTGTTTTTCACTGTTTAAAAATTATATCAGAACTTTAAACAGTCAAATAATGGTTTAAAAATGTTATCTTATCTCTCATTGATTAGATGTTTTATGATGTTTTGATTGCTCATTGTCTCTTAATATAATAAATATAATTATAAATATATAAATGAGTTATTTTTATAAAGTTTTATTATTTAAAAATATTTAGAAATAATGAGAAATAAAATAAAACATATTTTTTTTTTTGCTCCAACATGCGTAGCGTAGCTGTTTAAGCTTGGTTAAATTCACCCCGCTATGCTATTTTACCCCTAGGACCTAGATTAAACGGTTCTCTGTGTCCGGGACATGGGCAAATGGACACTGCTGAACTACTAAACCATTTAATCCCTCATATTTTGAATCAAATGACCTTCTGTGTAGAGGATTTACACCAAATGATCCAGCTGGGATTCCCTCTCTCTGCAGTTTTCTCGGTGATCTTAATCATTCCTTCTATTTTTAAATAAAAAAAAGTTTATAAATATTTTGGATTTTTAAATTATTTAAAATAAATTATTTATATTGTAATATAGAGACACGAGAGCGATGAGATAGGGCTCGAGCCGTTCATAGTTGTGGGACTTCACCACTCATCGAAGACCATAAATAAAACTAATAGAAAACAAGATTTTTTTTAAACCTCTTGTCAAAAAACTGTGATTTATATTAATTTCTATATATATAAGACTACATTTTTGACTCCTCTGTATCTGGGTCCTCCGTTAAATGGCCCTGCTTGGACGCTTCCTCTACTGCATCTGACGTAACAGTTTTTTTAGGGTGATCGTTTACGAAAAAATGACCTAATTATATGTAAACAGAATGTGTGGAGGTGTCTTTATATTTTAGATAAAATTTTGTAATATTACACCCGTATAAAAACTAAAAATTCAGCTCTAGTTTTAATTTAAATGCATAACCGAAAGGATTTTTGTGTGAAGAATAGGCTATGTTGTAATGTCACGTCTCACCTGTATTCCAAGATACAAGAAAAGAACTGCATTTCAATGAGTTTTCAGAACGAAGAAGTTATAATTTTGCAAAATAAACAAAAAGAAATGTGCATTTCTTCTTGCAACCAAGTAATTTATGGCTGCAGGAAGAATTTCAGTTCTTTGATTTCACTTCATTTTAACTTTTTAAGTTCTTAGCCAATGGGCAGGAGGAAAGTTACTTGGAGGATCGCATTGCCTCCCAGTGTCGGCAAATTACGTTCAATAGTCGATAGTCACGCATAAAAAAGAAAAAGAATGAAACTATTTTTCGGAATTAAGAGATGCAGAAGTATAAATAAGAGGGCAGTGAAGGGGGAAGGTGAGGAGAGGAGCCAGCCTTGTTAATTGGCAATTGCATCAGTTAGAAAAATCCACGACTCACCCCATGATTGATGTCTTCATACAGTCCTGCCTGTGGGTGCAAATCTTTATGTTTGTGTATATATTCAATGAAATTTCATAATTAAGAAGTTATAACTATACAAAACAAGTATAAAAATTAATGAAATTTTATTTATCAGAAACAATTTATAACTAAAACTCGCGAAGAATTTCTTGACTCTGCGATTTCATTTCATTTTCGAGATCAAAAATCTGAAAGTATGGCGAGTAAAAAAATAATTTATTTGTAAAATTATTTTAAAAATATATTTCGTTTCAATTGCAAACTGTTATTTTATTTTTATTTTAATATATATTTAAATAATCACCGAGAAATTTTTAGTGGAAGATTTTCTAAGTTTACTTTAACTTTCTCCAGAACTCTTCTTTTCAAACGAAGAGTCAATTGATACAAAATCTCTCCAAATATTTAAATTGTGATCGAAGATTTTAATTCCAATGGGGAGAACCGTTATGTTAGTGATTCCTTTATTTACTCTTCTGAAATAGAAGATAGAACAAACGCACGTTTTGATGCAAATACATTACGATATTAAAATTTCATAATAATTGATAAACATTTCGAACGTATGGCACTCCTCTTCAGTCATTAATCTCTGAACATGTCCAACTATGTTGAGACTAATGACTGAAGAAGAATGCAACTATGTTGAGACTAATGACTGAAGAAGAGTGCAACTATGTTAAGAGACGAATGACTGAAGAAGAGTGCAATTTTGTTAATAGCTTAATGACTGAAGAGGCGTGCAATAGACACTCGAAATGCATATCAAATATTGTCAAATCTTAATCGTAGCATGCATTGATCAGATTCAAAATATTAAATCTTGATAATATATGTCATCCAAAAATTATATATTTTTTTGTATAAAAATATAAATATTTTCACTATTTTCTCTGTTATCTGTGCATGCAAACAACACGACGATACTTTTAGTAACATATTAAAACGAATTTTAACTTCGTAATTCCCTCTACACCAAATGTAAATGACCTTTATATACAATATAATTATTTTATATGTAGAGTTACATAATGTCTCGACCTTCGCCCTTTGGTAGGAGTTAACTACATTAATTAATATAATTGGCTATAGGGCCGGATTTACACAATATAAGCTGAAGCTACAGCTTAGGGCCTCACGCTACTGATTAGTTGAGTGTGGATCTTATATATTATAGTTTAAGGCCACAACCAATCGAAATCAACTAAAATTGTAGCAAGTAATAGAAAGGTTTATTGTGTAAACTGTAAGTTATATGAGTCAGAATGTTTTCTTTTCACTTATATTGAATTTCATTGGAAAGATGAGCATTCAAGATGACACCTGTTTTCCTTCATCATTATGAAAGCGTGTTAAAGCTGTCAAATGAAAGCTTTAAGAATAGTTGACAAAATACTTGTAAGAGAACTTTTATTTATTTATTTTTTCATTAAACATCTGCATTTATTTACTATAGTAAAAAGTAAGATTCCCTCCATGAGCATCGCTCCCTAGACAGCACTTGGTTTTATCTTGACGTAAACAGTGTCGAGACTTTACTATTTACATCAAACAATACGAATTTAATAGTGTTACATTGATTGTTGTAGACTTTCTTTTCTTTTCCTGTCATAAAAAACACTACTTTATATAAATACTTTAACTCTTCGACAATTTATTTTAAGTGAAAGCTTAAAATTAATACCGTTTTGTTATTTATAATAGAGAAATTTTTATGATTTTTAGCGCTTGAAATTCCCTTAGAACATAATAATAACTTTTACTTTCTGGCTTTTATATGTAACAAAAGGGACGTATGACAATCAATCAAAAAATAACTCCCCCCCCAAGATTTTTACATACAGGGGCACCTTAAATCATCGAGAAATGCAAAAAATTCAGGGGGATTTTGTATGTATGAATATTAATGTGTATGTGTGTGTAAAGGGTACGCCTTTTGTCAAAAATTTCTGAAATTTTGCAGGGAGATTTGTGTATATTATTAAATGTTCGTGTAGAATACGCGAACGGTATAGAACCCCTTTCACCTAGGACCTTTGGTAGGACCTTTGTTCATACATATTTTGACCTCTATATATTATAATCTAGAATATCTTTTGGTGGATTTATAGGTTTAAATTCTTCAATGAAATTCATGAAAATAATATAGTCTTCGGCTGACATACCTTTATTAATCAATAACATCACTTCTATTGGACTTACATTTATATATATATGTCAAGCTGCGGGGGTGTTTGATCGAAATCAACGTGGGTAGAAGAAAGTCACGTGACCAGGCGAGTAGGCGTTGGACGGGTATTCAATTTATCGATCACCTGTAGTGTTCAGTTTAAAACTACTTTTGAGAATATCGTTTAACTTACCTTTGCGGGTGGTTAAATATAGAAAGTATCTAGAATGAAAAGATACAAGAGAATTAGGTTAACCTCTTCAAATTCATATGCTAATATTAATGAATAAATTCTGTAAGGCGAAAAAACCCTTTATTTAAAACAGCTATTAATATAAATTTATTACTTACTTAGTTAATAAACATGTTAANCCCCTAAAAGATAAACCTCCCTGCCAAATTTCAGAAATTTTCGACAAAAAGCCCAGGA